TGCCACATATCAACGGTGCAACTGTATAATAATGAACCTGATGACTCTTAGATATAGTCTTGATGAGTCTGCAAATATTTAGCACTTGCTGATCTCGTCTATAGCGTTAGCTGCGAGTGCTGTGCTTATCACATGCACAGCATATGTGTGTGCTGCAAGCTTTCACACGTTACGATGCCCAGACTGGCCATATAGCCGTGCTCTAGTAAACATTGGCCTACTAATGGAGCAACGGATAGAGAAAGAGACAGATTAACGATTTGAACGAATAATGGATGCAAGAACGACTAGTTGAATCCGAAAAACAGCGAATAACGGCCAATAACAAACCGTTTAAAGTGTACACCATCAGGAGCTTGCTTCGAACCCAAAGTCAACATTGTCAAAATCTTTCAAGTGTCAATGAGCGACTATATATTTCATTAAACAAAATCCCAATGTTACAGATTGAGCAGGGCCCACTTTCAAGGGTCGCTGTGTAACAGCAAACGCTGAGGTTAATTTTTTGTAATTTTTACTGCCTAACGTACCCTGGAGGTGAATTCACTTAGATCCTAAGTGTCAGAATTTTGTTTAGTACAATGTATTTGCGAGGTAAGCGTTCTGAAAGTTTATTCCATGAAAAACATTCGTTCCACATAAAGGATTCATGTAATCTCTCTAAAACTTGGTTTTTGCAATTTATTCAAAGTTTGTTGCCATGTTGGTAATATTGACTGAGGAACAAACACCCAGGTAGCCCACACAGGTACCCTGACTTGTCTGACAAATCGCAAATGGGCGTTCCATCACCAGCGGGTCTAGTGTGCTGAACTGTATTGAGGGAAGTGTACTGTTAGTCTTGGACAACGCATATTCTTCCTCTCACAGAATGTACTGAAGTTTCTTTCATGCCTATATTTATTTTAATCAACTCCGTCAACAACGCATAAATAGATCATGCTGTTTTCCTAATTTCCACCTACAACGACAACATCTCCAGACGGGTTTTGTCATGATTTGGTCCACTTTCGGCTTGACTATGAGAACCGGGAGTAAATTTGGGAATGCATATGAACAAGAGAAGACATCTAGCTTCTTTGAGAACTGCACAACGGACCGCTTGCAGGCCTTCCGCTTGATTGATTTAATGAGCACGCAATGGAAGAAGTACACATTGCCTCTAATATTCAACAAAAGTGTTGAAGCCGCTATGTGACCAGCGTTGGGAGGTTTCACAAACTTTGCCATGACCGGGGTAGAGTCAATCACAAATCAGTGGTATGCAAACAGCGTGGAATGTTAAACTAGAAATACCTGCTACGAACTGTAAACAATTGACAGAGAAGTTTATCAGCTAGAGCAACTATTTTGGTCTGAAACTACTGCACTAGCATTGAGTTGTGATTTGTCCAACATCCTTCCAGTTGCTTGGTTTCATGTGGAACAAAAACAGTTAATGCAAGACGCAGTTTCGTCAAAGTCGACGACCAGCAAATGCTTACATGAATAAACTTCGAACATACAGCATAAAATGGTTTATTTATAAACAGCCAAAACGGTGTCTTACCTAGGAATAGACCTTTAACGAAAATTTTGGCATGCATCTGATCGTTCTTCTTCAATGCGTAGTGGGGGGATGTATGTTTGCGACATGGCCGCTGTTATTTTTGTGCTGATGCTTAGCATAACTATGCTGAATACAACACTGCATGATTAATTTTGGAAGAATAATGCATAGGTGCAGGGTCAGAAATTACACGGTCTGTGAGTTGTTAAATCTCTAATTTCATCTGTTGTAAGTTATGAATTATGAATGCATTAGCTGGACCATCAGGGGACTTAAAGTCAACTCTGTTGAAGTTTACGAGGTGCAGTGATATCATTAGGTTATGATAGTTACATCCTAATGGACAGACCTAAAACCCAATAGACATGATGAAAACTGCGCCATTTTTCCCAGGTGTGGGAAAGAATGACGACTGTTCCGAAAACATAGGAATGAAAGGTGGGACTAAATGACAAATGCGAAGGGAGGTTGAAATAGCCAGTGGAAAGACGACATTCTTCGTTGGGCATATTCGCAATACGTGGATCGAAAATATTCAGCGCCATGAAATGCCAAGCCATCTATCCCTCCAAGATAGGAAAACTTATTGTCATCATTGAAGAGATACCTACATCACAGAATTTACCTCATGACAGACGGATATTTATATGCACATCTGCGGCTGTTTGTTATTAAGTTCAGTCAGTCAGTCAGTCAGTCAGTCAGTCAGTCAGTCAGTCAGTCAGTCAGTCAGTCAGTCAGTCA